TTCTTCTTCTTCTTCTTCTTCTTCTTCTTCTTCTTCTTCTTCTTCTTCTTCTTCTTCTTCTTCTTCTTCTTCATCGCACCGAGGCTTATAGAAAATTCTATTATTCTATTCTTATCATCAGCAGTAACGTGTAGTGCCTCGTATCGACAGCAGGATACATAATGCAACGTGAGTTTCCGAGCTTGCGCGTTCGTGCACCGGATGTACTCATACCGAGCTTGCATACTGAGCGGGGCGGCCCTTTCTAAAAAACGTGCTGGCTCGCAAACGCGGTTGAACGTCCTGGCCCTTCCCTTTGACCATCCTCTTAGGCCCTTTCTTTTGAATGAAAACGAATTATTCACGTGTCCGATAATTATTATTATTTTCATCATTGAACGAATATTATTTATCGAAATTATATGAAGGAAGATATAAGCAATTAATGAATATAGAAATAATAAAAGAAATCAATATATTACTGTCGAATTGTCCAAAAAAAGGAAAAAACTAAAAAAGAATATGCATATTCATAAACGAAGGTAGACAACAGTGCTAATTTAATAGAAAAAACGATTATTTGTTTAATCAAGAATTAAATCTCGAGTCTAAAGGGAAAAAGAAAAAAGAAAAAAGTAGACACCTTTGAACGATTTCGCTTGATATGTAGGGATCGAATAGCTTTTACGTTTACGAGCGGACGTACTATACGGGTCCGCTGTCGCGTCTCTAATTTCCGAGCCCAGGGACAAATCCCGATTGAAAGCACGCACGAACGTTTCTCCAAAGCTCACCGAGGTCGCCGAGAACCATTGTCGCCGTAGGACCTTTCTATTTACGCGCGAAAAAGAAAGAATGAGGGGTAGATTAGTGGGAGGAGGGATGAGGAAGGAGGCAAAAGTTCAACATGTGCACGCGCCAAATTCGAATTCTCTCGTGGCAACTGGTCACACCACAGGGTATTGTTTTAATTAAAGCGTCCACTGTTCTCTCTTGTTCCATTCAGCAAACTAATTCGACATACGTTTGAGCGCGGCAGTGCACAATACCGTTTTTCTTCGTTTTTCTATCGTGCATGCATCTGTCGTCGTCACCGTCTACGTTATCATTGTCGTTTAACGCCGTTCGCAATTTTAACGCTTCCATCTACCCACAAATCGGCGCATTAATTTCATCATTAAACGTATCAAAGATGATGATGATTATCGACGAGAATAACTCGGTTCGCTTCGCTTCTCAGTTGTTCGGTAAAGCACAATAATCGACTGCACATCAAGTCAAGACAATACAATCTATTTGCATATGGCCATATATGCTTTAATCGACAACAGACCGGTGATGCGATCGACTAATTTTTCCGTTAGCCACTTGTAAATCGTTTGAAATTCATGTATTTGTGTCACGGAATATCATGGCTAATATCAATATTTTTTTAATTTTAGTAAAAATTGGTAAAAATATAATCGTCTTTAGTTTTATACAAAACAAAATGAAGGTGCTAGAGGTATGCAAAGTCAAAGAATATTCGTCGGATTTTTATATTATGTTTTAAACGCAGACACTCGTAGGCGATTAAACTTTTCCTTTGTTTCCGTCCGACACAATTTGCGACATACTCTGGAAAGAGGATTACTCAATTTTCCTATGAGTCATTAGAGACTACTACTGCGTATTTAAATGCAACTCACAATGTACCGTCATAACTTGCCACTTTGGAGATAAGGATGCAATTGCGCGATTTATAAGTCACGTGGCTGTCCAAGGTGATCATTGTTCCGTTCGACTTATTTTCCTTTGTTCGTTGTTTATGACGTATCGCTTTACAAACTTGTCTATCATCGTTTATCGTCTAACTTATCGTATTTAGTAAAAACCTTTGATCTTGAACTTTAAAAATAATGATTAGTTTCTGGTTAAACTCTTTAAATATACATATATTCTTTCTTTCGGTTCTCTGATAAACTTAAAATCCTAATGCTATATCCCAAAGCCGTAAAAGAACCATCAACAAATTCGTATCGGATATAGAGGGTCGAATTCAAAAGAAATTCGTTTCGCCGTTTCCACCTTCGTGCACACAATTACAACTGGTCTCTTTCATCCTTTACGATAATTTTTTCTCCAAAAAGCAGCTCTTGTTTTTCCATGAAACTCGTACGATCGATTGTTAGAAGTCAAATCCATGGTATTTCATTAAATTCAATGCAGTCGTATTGCTTCATTACTTTCTCTAAATATTTCTTTCTATTTCCTATTTATTATTATTTTCTATTTCGTTAAATTAGAATTTTTCCTTTTTTTCGAAATCTCGATATAAAATAAGAAAACTTTCTCAAAAGTGAGGATAGTGAAAAAGACCTATTGAATCTTCTCGATCTTAAAATTTTTCTTTATAAAGCGAAACAAGGGATCTCTTCTGGTAAGAACTTGAGCTGGGAATTTCGCGAACTCTTTTTATCCTTCCATACATCCAGTTGGGATCACCCTACTCGGCTCGTTCGCATAAACGGAAAACGGGTTTTGGTCAGAAAGAGCTTTGCTTCGTAGCAAAGGGACGGGAAGGACATTGTCGCGGCAAAGAAAAAAGAACAAAAATTAACGCACCTCTTTCGTCGTCCTCGTTCCCTTACGTCCTCCCTCTCTTCATCTTTTTCTCCATCCTCTTTCTCTTCGCTCCAGTCGTCTTTTTCTTTTGGTTACGATAGAAAAAAGGGGACAAGGCTGAGGTTAGGTAAATGCAAATGAACACCATTGACGTAAGATCATTTTTTGAAATGCTATATTCTACCTTTAAAAATATTCCAAAATATATTTTCTCTTTTCTTTCATCAATAATAATTGGAAACGATTAAACATTATTAATAAATTATTTATTAGCAAAATATTTATCGGTGACACACATATATCTTTATGCATTATATTAGAAAGAGGAAAACGATTTTGTAAAATGTCATTGAGAACCACTGTCTACGGTGATCGTTGACTTTTTCATCCCCCTCCGATCCCTTCGAGTTCTGAACCAGGTTCGTACTCTCTCTTTCCTACTTTCCTCCCCGCTCGATCACCTCTAAAATTCGCCCTTGTGTATTTCATTGTTGGAACGCATGCAAATTGCGATCCTGTTCCACATACCGAGTATCAATTCTAACAGGATTAATTCGAGTGCAGTCATTGTTTTTTGCGCGTACCAAAAAGTCCAGCCTATATACATAGGTATACGTGTCTGTATCGCGGTTCTGGTCTGCCTCGAACAATGTTCTCTCTATCGCACGCGTCGGCATCCCTCGCGTAAAACTCAGTTCGTAAATTGGGCTGAAAGGGAGGCGAAGGGATGCTCGTCGAGAGGTACGCTGTCGATTTTTTTCTCTCCCTCTTTTTTTTATTTTTTTTCCTATTTTTTTTTCTCTTCTCTTTTATTGGCACTCTTCTTTTTTTCTTTTTTTTTACACTTCATCCCACCGATAAAATTCGAGAAGATCGTAACCTATATATCTATGACGAAACTCGTGGCGAGAATGAGAAACGCGCTATGATAGAAATAATTTTTCTTTTTATTTCTTTTCTATATTTACGGTAGAAACTCTTTTACGGCGAGATGATCGTGCGTAAAATGCAATTGTATGTAATTTAGCGTCGAATAGAACCGTGACATTGAGAAATGAAACGATTTTCAATAAACCGGTTTCTAATTTTATTTATTTAAAGAACGACTATGTAGTATTTATACGGGATGTTCGAAAATAAAATGAACAATCTTTTTGTTAAATGACGATGTCTCATAGTTGTAGGATATTTTTTAATTTTTAATCAATCTTTAATAGTTTATTTGATAAGTGTTTATTAACTTTCCTTAGAAAGTATAGAAAACATGATAGTAAATATATATACAGGATAACATATATATTTAATTAATTAGTGGGATAGAATGTAATGTCTATAATTAACTTACAATCGTTTTGTTGCCTAGCTTCTAAATTACTAACTAACTTTTCTACGTATCTTCTTAGCTTAACTTCTTAACGTAACTTCTTAGCCTAATAACATAATATAACTTCGTTTATTGACCTCTTAACATCACATGTCCTCTTAACTTCTTTCTAACGTAACGTAACTTCTTCTTAACACATCGTATTGCCTTTTCGTTACCTATATTTTGATACTATTTCATCTTACTGTTTATCGTTCCTTTCCTTTGAGCGTACTTCATCTTAAACTACTCTTTCGGTAAAAATCCCCACTTCGCACCATTAAGAGTAGCAACGGATTCATTTGCGCTACGAGTACGCACATACATACACACACAATCTCTCTTTTCTTCGTACCATAATAATAGGAAACGACATTTCTTATATTTTTATCTAACCGAAAAACATTTCCGCTTATTCTAGAAGTAGATTTTTAAGCTTATAAGAAAACGTCTTTGCCTATCCTAGAAATACCGAAAAAATGAAAAAAAACATTAGCGTACATATTCGACAATGCTCGTTCTTGAATATTTCTATTTTAACCGTTTCTCGTCTTTTCACTTATTCATACTTTTACTTATAAATTTTCTCCAATCCCACATAGTATAACTTTATTACTTTATTATTAAATTTTTTTAATAACCTGTAGATGTATGAATATATATCATTTTTATTTATTTTTCTTTTTAGGCCGACGACATTGATGCGATCAGTTCTGTTCTGCGAAAGTATTTACAGGAGAGGGGCACACCGTATATTCTAGATATCGATCTTGATTTCTTCAGTACTAAGAACCCGTTCAAGGAAATCTACCCACTGGTTAAAAATCTTTATGAGAAACTTGGAGATATCTACTATTTTGAAAAAACCTACACAGATGATCCCTTGGTAAGTCATTAAAAGAATCATCATCGTTAATTTTAACTTACAAATGAGCTTTGTACATACAACGTCTACATTATACTTACTTTAGCAATCGCTTGACTCATAAATATTTTTCACGTAATGCTCGTCCAATCGAACGATTCATTATCATTTATATTTTTTACGTTTTATAAGACTCATACTATATTTCACTAATTATTCCTACTCGTATTTCATTTAAAAGACACTTTATATTATAGCTAGACGTATATATGTATATTCGTACGAATATTTAAATACTTTTTCTTTACACCTCTACCGTACAACGACTCCATTCTTCCTACTTTATATGCAACACGCTTAATGTATACGACTTACTTTTTTAATCATTATTGAAGCTTCCTGCGTTGTTTGTTAAATGCAAAGTCTAAATAGAATGTATCTTACTAATAAATATTTTAATAAGTTTATTACGATATGTGGGAACATTTAATATAATAATAATAATCTTAATTAATAAGAAATAATGAAATCTAAAAAAAATTCTATTTTAGGCCCGAATCGTTTAATAATTTCTAATACGGTCAATTGTTGGAGGATAAGAGATAGCTAAAAGCGTTAAACTTTCACGGGGTAAAGCGAGAGAGAAGGAGGGAGAGAGAGAGAGGGAGAGAGAGAGAATTAGAAAGATGAGGAAGAGGGAGAGGGAAGAGAGAGGACCAGCAACGAGCGGAAGATTTGCGAATAATTACGTGGCCCGACAATGGTCGAGGTCTCGTGGCAGGCCGGATACACAATGTGGCCTGCCACCAGTCGGATAATAGACAGAGAAGGACGACTCTATAGGGTTTTAGGATTCGACGGACATAATGGCACGGGACCATTGTCTACATAACTGCAGACTGCCAACATCCGCTTTGGGGGTCGACTATGTCAGCTCATCTGCATCCCACCCTCCAACTCCTCCATTCGCGTTCGCTTTTTCGAAAGTGATCGAAAGCTTCGCCCGAATTGACGATTGAATTATTAGTTAAGTAATGCCCATACAATTTGCATGAATTCGCATTGGTAAGAGCGTTATGTGTCCACCGCGATTCATTATACGCCACGAAATACGTATGTATTTTTATACGTATGCATTTAGAATGAAATTTTATAATCGAGATAATTGCATTTGTACTTGTACTTGCATAATGAAGAAGAAAAGGAACGTTTGTTTTTTTTATTTGTTTTTCATGTATCGATTGGAAATTTTTTCAATTCTTCGTCATAATATTTAAATAAATCGTAAGTTGTTAAAATTTAATAGAATTTCTTTTTATCAGATATATTAATCATTGTTAAATCTGGTGTCTACGGTTGATTAATTACAATACAAATAAAAATTAATCTTAACATCAATTTTTCGGTATTTCGTACAATATAAAATGGAAAGAATTGATATCGATGCTAAACAAAAATTGTTACATGAAATCATGTCTACTATTTAATAAAATCTCGACGACGTGCTACCTGTCTTACCTTATAAATTCGACGGTCCACTGTAATTGAAATCAGCCAGCTTGGAATCAGTTTATAGTCCAACCAGGGTCGGAGTCATTTTCGAATTATTTAAATTACGTAAGTTATTTTCCCGACGTTACGATCAGACTCGTACGTATTCGGTTTTCGTGCTGCTGAATTTTGCAAAGATTTATTTAAAAAGTTTAACAGTAAATAAGAAAAAAAAGAATCCCCTGAATATTTAATGAAAAAGATGCACATGAAGATTATCAACTAACTAAGTTCATAAAGAAGATGTTAATTGTAATGTTTTTTTTAGGATTCGTTAATAGATACGACTAGATTCTATTTCTATACTGCATCAGCCATGATTCTTTTCTCAGGATCTGGCTCACGATGCCCCACTGTGATCCCTGTTGAAGGAGAAACGGCACGAGCGGGGGGTCCATCCAGTATGCAAAACGGTCCTCGTTTTCCGGCCTGCCTGAATATTGATGTGTACCCGGCTATGCAGATGAGCGTGAGAATGCACCTCGTGCCGGATGGTGAGGCGAATAGGTGAACCGGAAGTAACCAAATGTCCTCTACCGTTCTAGCAACGTTTCTCATTCTCTTTTTATATTTATCTGTTTCTTTCTCTTTCTTTCTCTCTCTCTCTCTCTCTCTCTCTCTCTCTCTCTCTTCCTCTCTTTCTTTATTTCTCTTTCTAACCATGTTTTTTTGGCCGCATGATCCGAATCTCGACCACAGAATTTCCTCATCGACAAAAAGCTGGTCCATCAAGGCCATCCGAATCTCTCCTTGAGGTAGGTCACTGCCTTCTAATTGCCTTCTCTCACGGAACTTTCAAGCCTCTCGAACTTGCCTCTTGCTCGTTCACGGTCATGCCACATTCTCGAGCAATTAAACCTCACAGAAAATTAGGTCGGTAAACACAAGAAGTTCTCCTTCCACATGACCCACCGCCTTACTCTTCCTTTTCTCTACTATTCTTTCTGAAAAATATTAACGAATCGTCGAAATTACCGTTTTATCGAAGGCAGTTAAAATCAGATAAAATCTTCTTAATAATTCCATATTTTGACTCTTGGCAATGCGAATGATTCTAAAATTTATTTCCTTTTTCAAGTTCTTCAACGTCTATCTATTTTGGTAATCTTCACTAAATAACGAACTTTATTACTGGGTTTATCTAGAATGTCCTTAAGAATTTTAGTATTTATTCAATAATTCTACATAGACTTCCGACAGTTACAAACACGATGAAACGGATTTAAAGAATTTTTCAAAAATCCTGATAACATCAGGAGACGAGCTTAATCAACGAGCTCAAAGCACGCAAATCTTTGGTAAACCGGATAAGAACCAACATCGCCATCTGTTGTGACTGATAAGAACGAAACTCCGTTTGCAGTTTCCGGATAAGCCGCAGGCTGTTGGGGTGACGTGACGAGCGACGCGTTGGCGTCGGCGCCGACGCTGGCCGACGCCATGCGTCCAAGATGGCCGCGGATCGTTAAACGGTCACGCGCAAGTTCCCGAAGGGGTGGCCAAGTAGAAGCGGGCGGGGTCGATTTTAGGGGTGCGCGCTATTACTCCTTAATCAAATAGAACCCTCTTTAGGACTATGAGATCGACCTTGACTTATAACAAGAAAAGAAAAAAAAACAAGAAAAGGATGAAACAGAGATCGAAGTTCCGAGGCTAAATAAATATCGAAGTAGTTTGACCAAAGTTTTTTCATTACTACTATTTCAATCTCGATCGTTCCAACTTTTAACGGCATTTTTATTTTACGAGGTTGTAACGAACGAACGAAAAACTAGGAAAAATGGTGAACAACCATTTCTCGTTTTCAGTACTATTATGTGCTAGCGTACACGTGGCTATTACTTTTCCAACTGACTGCCAGTATTGTTTTATGTAATCACCATCGCGAAAATCGTTCGCACACGCTATGACCTTTTTGATAGGAGTTGAATTTTTCAATTCGTTTTTTGAGTTCCGCACGAATCGGGATGTTTTCTAAATGTATGTATATACATATATATATAATTTGTTACAATAGTATAATTTATTACAAATTGCAACAAATAGGTTGAACCAAATGTAATAAATTCTTGCACACAGTTTATCTGCAGTAACAAAAAGTTTTTTTTTAAATTTTGATAAAAATTTTCGAGTAAGACTCATTTAATCATGAGCTTTCTAATATTAAAATATAGTTAATGTGACAATCGTGTTTAATACATAAAAGTTAAATAATGTAACGATTATGTAAATTAAGAAAATAAACTTAATGATAATATATAACAATCGTTGCTGTGACAAGTAATAGAACTAAGTCGGGAAAAAATTATGCTTCATTAGAACAGCAAAAAATAGTTCGAATGGCGTAAACAATCCAACAGGGTTGTATCTCATTTTTTTCTCTTCTTATTGGGAAAGTTGTCGAAAGAGGTGGTTGACCTGTTCGGAAAGCAGTAATTTCCGAACAGAAGGGTAAGCATTTATTGAGAGAGGGAATGAGAAAGAGAAAGAAACGATAGTCATACGGCGTCGTGACATGTTCGCGCTTTTTCGCGCAAAACCGAAACGAAATGTCAACGGAAACGTCACGCTCAATTCTTTTTTCCCGTTTCCTTGCACGCGCCACTCGCGCGCACGCTCGCTCGAAAATTTTTGAGCAATCATCGAGGGATTTACACATGTCAAGTAAAGTTAACGTTACACCGCATTACGTGTTTTACGAACAATGCAACGGGTTTCCCTCCTGTTAGGACTACTCCCTTCTTCGCGAGTACAGCAAAACCGCGAATTCAAGAAATAAAAGAAATAATTAAAAAAAAAGTAGAGAAATAAAGATACACCGAAAGAGAAAAAAATTAAATTAAAAAAATAGAATATTACTTCTATATCAAATACGGAAAGTATCATAAATGTAGTTTATGTTGCACAATTATTTATAAGCGATTTGATGATAAATTTAAACTTTTTTCCAACATGAAATTTAAAATACTACAACTCGTGTCGTACTAGTGAAATAACATTTAAACGGCAGCTAAGTTGTTATTACGGATAAAAGTTATGTACTTTCATAGTAAGTAAAGACTATGTTAAATACTTCGAAGTTGTGGCGTTTTTCAATCAGCGATCGACAAAAGTAGATTTATAGTCGTAACTTAGCCCGGCTACTGCAACTTGCAAAGTTAGAAAACTCTTCCATGTCCGTTAAATCTATATACCTACATGTATTAAACTAATATTTATTCGAAACCTTTAAACCATTGAGAGCATTTTTTAAGTTGCATTTAATGATACGACAAATGTGACAAAGAAATTTAATGATTTTATGGAAAATCGAAAAAAAAATGAATTGCAAAAACATCTCATGAATAGCGTATCATTAAGTGATCGGTAATGACTTATAACCAACGTCATAGATAGGAATAGAAGATCATTCTGTTTGTTGATTGAAAGACCGATGACTACTCGATAAAAGATTCTTAATTGCGGGATAA